CCCATCGCTGAGCTGGGGGTGCTGCTCAGTAGCATAGCACTTGATGCCTACCTGTTGTGAGGCCCTGGACAAGGGAGTCCACTGTTAGCCCTGGCATGCTTACTCACGTTTAACCTGAGCGTGCCTGTCAAGCACATCGCAGTGTCCTGCCTCTCACCCACCTGCTGCTCCCCTTGTTGGCACTCTAGACTCGGACCAGTACTTATACTCTGCACCGCTGAGACTCACCGCCCCCAATGTCGGCTACCATCTCCAAAGTCTAGACTCAGACCAGTACCCACACCCTGCACCACTGAAACTCACCGCCCCCAATGACAGCTACCATCTCCAAAGTCTAGACTCAGACCAGCACCCACACCCTGCACCGCTGAGACTCACCGCCCCCAATGACGGCTACCATCTCCAAAGTCTAGAGTCGGACCAGTACCCACACCCTGCACCACTGAGACTCACTGCCCCCAATGCCGGCTACCATCTCCAAAGCATAGTCCCTGCCAGGCAAGTCTAACACGCAGCTCACCACGTGCTCCAAGCCCCCTAGGAAGCAGGCACAGGAACCCACTAACTCAGAATCTCAAATGTTCTGAGATCTGAGGAGGTATGTAGGGGGGTCTGGATTTCAGAGCATTTCAGACTGAACTTTCAGATTAGGGATGTTTGACCACTAAACTGTGCAAATATCTCACATCAAAAGAACTCCAAACTCTAATATACTTCTGCTCCCAAATGTTCTTGATAAAGGATACTCAACCTGCATTATTAACAACCCACGTTACAGACAAGGCCTTCCTGTGTGAAAATGCAGACTTCACGCCGCTTGAATACAGCAAGTATAAACATTTAAGCTATGCATATATAATACATCTATATATACATTTACATATTTACATATATGTACATATATAATATATAAAATAACCCTTGATCTTAGCCAAAAGGCCGAGAAGTGATAAAACAACAGAGAAGATTTTTTTTTACCTTGGCAGATGCCAGCTTTCACTGAAAACAGTCTTTCAGGTTCTCATCACAGGCTTGGTGGCACTTTTCTTAAAGTAACAGCAGGTATTGCTAATAGAAATGTTTTCTTTAATCCAAAACTGGAGGAAAGAGACGGCAGGAAGTAATTCCTGTTGCATTTTCAGGGACTATCAGATAAATGGATGTGGTGTTTATGTGCTCGAGCTGCCCTGATTTCGAGATATGCATTTGCCTAGTAGCTGATGCTTACTCTTTTTGAATTGACATATGAAATATTTCCAGAGCAGACAACCTCACTGCTGCAATGTCTCAAGGCAGCAGTCAAAAGAGACCTGCGCAAATACAGCAAAATGCAGCCCCAGCGACTTGGGAGGCTGTGACACAGAGCCCCACAAGCCCCTACTTCAGCAACATCGTGAGGCCACACAATAATCTCAGAAAAAGAAAGCTTAGCATTTATAGCTTTATAAAAAAGTTAAAGCCTTGTTCATTCCAAATGTAATCCATAGAATTTCTTGCTGTAAAAACTTTCAGTACATATATAGTTGCATTCTCTTAATGAATAGAATGATTTGTTCTAATGGTGTGTGTAAATAGGATCTCAAGTCCGCATCTTGTACAGCAATTAACCACTAAGAATATATGCAGTGTGTTATTTGTTGAATCTGTACTTCCGATTTGATTTGAAACTGTCTCATTGCTATCTGTTTATCAATAAAATTTTGAAAAAAATAAAAATAAAAAAATAAAAAACTTTCAGTACATTTGTATAAATCCTATTTGTGTATATATATATATATATTTGGTTTTATTAATGTTTTATAACCAAATATATACATATATATATATTTGGTTTTATTAATGTTTTATAACCATTTTAAAAGGTGCACAATTTAGGCTCAACTTAGTGGTACACATCTGTAATCCCAGCACTCGAGAGGCTGAGGCAAGAGAACACCCGAGTTTGAAGCCGCTCTAGATTACATATGCAAGTTCAAGGCCAGCATGTACTACACAGCAAGACTTGGGAGGGAGGGTTGCACAATTCAATGCTTTATATTCCACAGGAAATGTAATGAACATATGCCACATCTGAAAATACTTTTTAAAAATACAGATGTGAGGGAATTACCTACTAAATAAGAATAAAGACAAGGACAAGGAGTCTGAATTTTTTGAGCTTACTCTGTGACTGCCTGTAATTCATTTAATTAATCTACCTAATAAATGAACATATACTTTATGTGCTTAATCTGCCACTGTCAAATACTGAATTGTTTCCAAATGTTTGCTATTCTACAATTACAAATTTCCATAAAGGTACCTCTCTCCACATAAATGCAATGATCTTCTGGGGCTAATAAAATGGTTTGCTTTTTTAAAATACTGTAGTCAGGAAGAAACTACGGAGTCAGCGCAGCTCTGCCAGTGCAGCCCACCACAATCCGGGAATTGTAGAGAAAACTGGGGACATTCAGAGCTGCCCTAGATATTCAAAAAGGGTCAATATAAAGTTAGATCCCTCACAGAAACTCAAAAACCAACATCTGCCTTTTGCTATAGCTCTATGACCACAAAGTCCCCCTCGAGTGTATAACCCCAAACTGCGCCCTACATCTTCTGCTGTGTGGTGCTGTTGTAAAGTCTACATCTGGCAAGGTTGTCATTCAGTGCTTTGCATGGGGTTTGATTCCCAGCATGAGAAAGAGAAAGAGAGAGAGAGAGAGAGAGAGGTTTCCATTTGATATTATAGGGCTGGGCAGATAGCTCAGCGGTCTAAGCGCCTGCCTGGCAAGCTCAAGGAGCCGGGTTCAATCCCTGGCACTGCATGCCATACCAGCCCTAGAACTGTGGGCTCACCATGCAGCTACAGAAACCGTGCATGGTCGTGCACACCTGTAATCCCAGCTGAAACAAAAGGATCACTATGAGTTTGAGCTGCATAGTGAGACCCTGTACCAAATACATAAAAAAAAAAAAAATCAAAAAGCCCATATTTGGTAGCTAACATGGTATCAGCCCCCAACAGCACTTCCTCAAGCTCAGTCTTGTAGATCCCTAATTACTCACAGGCATCTTGCACAGCAACATTTTGGACCACCTGCTAAGTCTTCATACTGCTACCAGGTCATCGATATAAAAAAGGGAACGCATTCAAACTCACGGAATTTCAGAGCTGGCATTCTTAGGCTTAAGATCAAAAGGTTAGCAGGAAAGGAAGCTTAAGCCAATGTTTCTCCAACTAGCATTGCAGGGCACACTTCCAGGGTTCACTGAGAAATGTTCCTCCCTTTAACAGGTGTTTATATGGTACTTAAAGTTGAGAACCACTGACTTATGAATGCAGGAACCATACTGCTTTTCTCTCCCACCCACGTCCCCAGCTCAGCCATAGCACTCAGCAGAAACTAAGCGGCACATTTCTGCGCTCGGGCACTGGCTCTGAGCTGGGCCTTCCTGTCAGTTGAACATCCCCGAAACGAAAAGAATCACTTCTTTGCCTTCTAACTAACAGAAACTGATATTCTGAGCCTTCAGGATGCTGAGACCAACAAGCCCGACCTCACTCTCTTTACAGACAGCAAAGGGGCAGGACCCAGTGTTGTAGACAGCTGAATGAGACAGAAATATTACAGGCAGTCAGACAGGGCCAGGCCCTCAAGGAGACAAGATAGAAGACAAGGTGACTTTGCAACTTGGAAGAGACAGACACTCCCATAGGGGCCACACCTCAAGACAAAAGAGGAAACACAGCTATATACTTCCCTAGGGATGGGCATCAGGGATTGATATTCTAAATAGGTATCAATCACCTTGAAAGAGCCCAAATGAGTCACTAGCCCAACCCCAACAGGAAGAGACCCTGTCCCCAGTAGTCATGCCCCCTTGCTACACGACTGGCTTCCCAATTTGGTACTGAATGTAACCTATTTTACCTGAGCAATAGTGTTTGTCATCTCATTGGTTGACCATAGTTTTGTCCCACCTCATGCCCACCTAAGTGAGTTCCCAAGTCTTCTCCACCACCTTAGACCGCCTCACCACATAGTTTTACTAGATAAAGCTCCCCGGAAGAAAGAGCTTCCCAGGGAACTCCCGCTTGGGGGCCCCCCCTCCTGTCCCTCTCTGGGACAGGAGCTTTCTTTCCCCCAATAAATATATCCTGCTCATGACCTCCATTTGTTCCTAAAATTCATTCTGAGGTTTTAGATCGTCCCAGGTACCTTTTGGGTTGTGAGATCAGTTTTCTCTCCCAGTGTCACTTGGAGGTTCTCTGTATTACCAGGATAAGAATGCCCTAAGGTCCCGGAACCGGTGAGTAGCAGAAACAAAACTACACCTTTTGCCAGCTAGCTTCCCTTCCTTGCCAGACCCCAAGAGCGGCCTCGGCCCACCCTAAGAACTGCGATGCGCGCACCCCCAGGCCCCACCCCCAACGCCGCCCGTCCCATCTCCGCCCTGCCCGCCCCCACCCCCGCGGGCACCTTTCCCCGTCGGCTCGCCTCGCTACCCGCAAGGTCTTTCCCAGGACACTGTTTCGCATTCCCTAGCCCCAGCCCTCCTGCTCGGCCTGCAGAGAGGCCAGCTAGCCGGCCGGGTTGGCGCGCGCAAATTATCACGCAGCTTGGGGGGTGGGTGGGGGAGGGGCTCGCAAGTCCATCCAGTCTGGGGGATTTAACAAGAACCTGACTTAAAAACTAAAGAGTTGAAGGGGTCGGGCAGATAGCTCAGTAGAATAATCGCTTGCCTGGCAAGCGCCAAGGCCTGAGTTCAATTCCTGGTACCGGAAAAAAAAAACAAAACTAGAAAGTTGAGTGTGTAGCTCCGTGGCAGTTTGTTAGCTTAACAAACACGAAGCTTTCAGTTCCAGCCCGAGCACCGAAGGAGAAAGGAAAAGAAAAAAAAAAAAAACTGGCCGGTGCAATTTCACCCGCGCTTCCAGCGCCTCCGCGCAGTCGGCCCCAAGGCGCATGCGCCACTCTACGTCGGCGCGCGTTGATGGCGTCACGCGCTACGCCGTCTCCGGGTTCCGAAAGCGTTCTAGTTCGCTGCAGGAAAAGGACCAGCGGGTCTGGACTATGCCTGTTTCCGCTTGGGGTTGAGGAACTTTTGTAGCGGAAAGCTTTTTTTTTTTTTTTTTTTTTTCTGTGATACTGCAGATTGGGCCCCAGGCCTCGCGGAGCTACATCCCAGCCCTTTTTACTTATTTTTATGTTCGAGATAGGGTCCCGCTACATGGGCATCGCCCAGGCAGGGCATGAATTGTGATCCTCCCGGATCGCACCGTGAACTGGGTAACAGGCGTGCGCCTTCCCGGCAGGCTTCTAAACAAAACTTTGGACGAGGGAGACGCCTTGTGGCGGAGAGCAGCCAAGCAAAGTGAAGCTAGGCCGACGGCTACGCGTGGGGAGACATCATTGGAGCGCGCCGGAAGCGGGCCCGCGATGAAGAAGAGTAAGGGAGGGCGCGAGGTTGGGGGCGGGGGTACCGAGGGTTGCCTTGATGCTGGTGGGGAAAGTGAGTCAGGGCTGCCTGTCGCTGCAGTCCTGACGGAGCTGTACGAGAATTGTTACATCTTAAACAGATCCAGAGTGCGGGTCCGCTGACCCGTCGCTGAGCTGGGAGTTGGTGGCAGGGGACTAGACGGGCTTTCCGGGGGACTGCGCAGATGGTACAGGTGGTGCCAGAGGATGCGGATCCAAGTGGCCCCTGTCTCCCTGGATAACCTCGGTCAAGGCCCTGCGCTCTCAGCCACCTAGTTTTCCACCCTTTGCCTCTTACAAACTTACAGGGGTTGCTGGGGGAATGATGTGGATCAGAGAAGAGAAGTGCCAAGGTAGGGAATCGTGTATCAGGGCCAAGGGAGTGTGGACACTATACAAACTGGGTGGGTCCGGAGTTTGGTTTCTACCTGTGCCACTCCCTACCCAATAAGATGAAGTGTCTGAGCCTATGTCAGTTTCACTTTCTTATGTATATAAACTAGGGATACCTACTGCAAAGGATTTTTTTAGAAAGTGTAATGAGAAAAATATATTTAGCTTTCAATCAACTGCCTGATAAGAAATAAATGTTCAGTAACTGTTATATGTGTCCTGTTGCAGAAGTACTTCCAAGTGTGATGTTAGGCATCTATGACAGAGGAAGCAAAATTATTCCTAAGGTTCCAGGCCCTGCAAACTTTAATTTGGTTCTTGAACCAAGCCTTTGTCCCATTCTTATTCCATTTATATCCATGTCACATTTTCAGTGCCACTTTACTTCTTTAGACAGATTAAGTAAAAAGTGGGAGTGTGGGTGTCTTTGGTGCTGACTACCACATTGATCATAGTATATACATTTAGAGTCTGGAGAAGGCTTTTTTTTTTTTTTTTTTTTTTTTTTTTTTTTTCTTCAGTTTTAGGACACCATCAATTATATAATGTGTTCCAATTACAATGGATACTAACATGTGAAAAATCTTTGGTTGTTTTTTCTGTAGTACTGGTAGGTAATCCCCAGGCCTTGGGAATGAGCTACATCCCTAGCTCTTTTGTTGTTTTGAAATGAGGTCTCACAAAGTCACTAAGTTCCTCAGGCTGGGCTCTAACTTAGTATGATCTTTTCACCTCAACTTCAGAGTACTGGGACTATAAGCAGATACCACCTTACAGATTTTCAACCTGTTTAAGGTTAGCTTTTACAGTCAGTAAAATTATTTCTGTTTTATCTTAGACAGTTGTGTCACCTTTTGTTTTCTACCTTTTTTATATGAGATACTGCATTAGACTTAGTTTAATTGCTCAAGCTTCTAATTTACAATGTTTTAAACCAGAGCAACTTTAAATATGATCTATTTACCAGCAACAGCATCTAAGAATTTGTTAGAAACACAGATCTGGGCATAGGAATCAAAGATCTGTGGTTTAATAAGATCTCTTTAAACATGAAAATTGGAGAAGCTCTTTTTTTTTTTTTTTTTTTTTTCCTGCCTCAGGTTTATTTATACAAAGAGCACAGGAGGACACCAGCCCCCCACAGATGGTACCACAGGGGTCACACCAGTCATTCTGTTTTTATATCAGCAAATAAGAGGCTTTTACTGTGGAGCCTTCACAGGAGCCTGGGCACCTTTGGGAGCCTGGGTTGGAGCCTGGGCCTTTGACCAGCAAGGCCTGCAACCCTTGGCAGTGAGGGCACAGATACGTTTCCCAAGCTTGAGGTGGGCAATATAGGCAAGTTAAGCGAGCCTGTGCTTTGCTCCCTGTGGAATGATACTGGGCTTGACCTCCTTGGGCTTGACAAGGGCCTTGATAGCCTCAGCTTGATCCCATTTCTGTGCCATTTTGGGGACTGGTTGTACATGGTGTGGTTCTTGAAGTTGGCCATAACTGTACTATAAACTGCGGCTGCCAGAGCAGCATTCTTTTTAAGCCACATTTAGAACTGCTAGCATAGACATGGCCAGAGTGTAGCTAGATAGGAGGCCTTCCAAAGAACGGAATGTGTAGCTCCGTGGTAGAACATGTGTTTGGCATGCCTGAGGCACTGGGTTTGATCCCTAGCACCACCAGCAAAAAAAAAAGCCCTCAAGAAAGCATTGAAGGGCCTGCCAGATAGCTCAGTGGATTAAAGCACCTGCTTAAGCAAATACAGGGACCAAGGCACTGCCAGCCCTGCCCCCGGGGAATGATGAGACAATGATTGAGACTAGGTGTGGTAGCTCACCTGTAATCCCAGGGCTTGGGAGGCTGAAAACAGGAGAATTACTACAAGTCCAGTGTGTGTAGTGAGACCCTGTAGACCTGTCCTAAATACATTTTTTAAAAAAAGCATTGAGGCTTTGCTTTTTCATACCAGCCCCATCTTCTATCTCTGTGTAAACATACTTATTCATATAGTTAGAAAGTCCTTGTGCCTTATAACCATACTCAACAGGAACTGATCATTTCTTTTCTTTCTTTTAATCCCCCAGGCGTGATCTACCATACCTTTTCTCAGAAGGAAGCAAAAGAGTACGATGTTCAGGTACAGCGCTTAGCAGGAAGTCAGAGGTGCTGGCAGAGACAGCTTAGTGGCATCTAAGCCTACAGTACCGGTTTATCTGTCCTTTATCTTGTCATACTCCTCATTTTTCCAGTAAATGTCTTGGGCTCCATCAAGGTCTGTGTTGTACTGATATTCCCAGGTGAAGCCTACTAACCTGTGGCCCCACGGTCAGGCTCGATAAATATGGACTCCTTGATTTTGTGTCCTCTCCCACTATGTAGGGAGGCCAGGCCAGGCCCGCCAGAAGCCTGCCCTTGTTAGCGCCATCATCTGACCTTACCCCTGTGTCCCCTTCACTCCTGAAAAAGGCGCGCAGATCACACTTCTTAAGTGGAGCTTAGATCGTGTGCTGTCACTTGGCCGAAGCTCCACGGGGGCTCTTACTGTTCGGTTTGGAAATCAAGATACCTTTATTTTGCTTCTCTGTGACCGAGACCCCTTAGCTATTTAAGAGAGTTAAATAATTGGCCTCGTACAGTAATGAAGATGGACTTATCTTTGGTTAGCATCTCGTGATCCCACAGTGACGCCTGCCGGGAGCTCCCTTGAAGACTGCGCGCATCGTTCCCTTGCTTTTCTGCCGTGCAGGAGATCTTCACTATTGGTGGTCGTGGTTGCTTTTCTCTGCTTGCTGAGACAAAATACCTGACGCCCAGAATTAAGGAAGGAAAAGTTTATTTAGCTCACAGTTGGTGGAGGTTTCAGTCCACACTCAGCTGGCTCCAAGCAGGGTGACACATGGCAGGGGGCAACAGCTCATGGTGGCAGAAAGCAACAAGAGCCAAAAGGGCAGAGCAGGTGAGATGCCCCAGGGCGGGTGCAGCACTCACACCCACAATCCCAGCATGGGACCATGGATCAATCAGAAACTCTAGAAGCCCAGCCCATGACAGCGTGGGCGTTGGGGGACATCTAGGCACAAACCAGAACAGACACGTTAACTTCAGGCTGTTGTTTGCAGTCTTACGGGTGCACAGAGGGCTCAGCCAAAAAGTGGCACATGAGAGGGCAGAGGCCGCCACTGCCAAATGGGAAGTAGATTGTTGAAACTCCAGCTTGACAAGGATACTTGGGTTTTTTTAAGACACACAGATAGCATCATTATTATGCCCAGAAGTCTTCTCTCAGAGCCTATGTTTATCCCAGTAACTTGGCACTGCTGTACCAGGTTGAAGAGAGTGGTGAAGGGCCTGAGATACATTTGATTCTTTACTCCAAGCAGAAGCAGACCTGTCGGAGAAAGGCCACACTATCCACAGCACTGGGAACCCAAGTAAAAGGGATTATGGTAGAGACTTTGTCGGAATCCCAGGCTGGGCCCAACCTGGCCACCTGGCTTACTGTTTTTCCTGGCATTAGGATCCTTTCCCTCTCAATCATAGTTTGATTCTACTCTGAGTTTGCCATCTTGGGGGCCATTATTAGTTAAATGTCTGTGCTATACATTCTCAGGCTTTCTTGTCTGCCACAGATGAGGGAAGTCTTCTAAACATAAGGCTTTCCATCCTCAGCAGAACAAGGCAGGAAGTCACTGTTGTGGCCACTGTGAGACGTGGGTGTGACATTCACATCACATCTCGGAGACTGGATAACAGGCACTCAGCAGATGAGAGATTGTGTGGGCTCCATGGGTAGGCAGGTGGATCAGTGATGACGGACTCCCAGAGTAGCAGGGGGGAACACCTGGGGTCCTCTGGCCCAGACCAGAGCGATCAACACCGCATCACCCTGTTACTCTGCAGCAGCTGGGAGCCCAGCGGGCGGAGGCCTTCGTGAGCGCCTTCCTGAGGCGGAGCGTACCCCACATGAGCCAGCAGGCCTGTGAGAACCAGTTGCAGCGCAAGGCCGTTATTCTGGAGTACTTCACTCGCCAGAAGCGGAAGGAAAAGAGGAAAAAATCCAAAGGCCTCTCCGCCAGGGAGAGGAGGGACCTGCAGCTCTTTGACATTAAACCAGAGCAACAGAAGTAAGTTCTGCCTTTCTGTGCCTTCTTGCCCACAGCCCCTTAACTCTTCCTGATCAGATGTAGGCTTGGGAGCGCAGTGACTTACAGAGAGCCTCTCCGTCCTTTGCCACAAGAGGGCAGCCTTTAGCAATTCATCTTGTGTGTGGGTTTGCTTTCTGTAGCAAGGCATGATGAGACTAAGGATTCTTATTACTTGGCGTCTGTCCTAGCCTTAACTAATAAGGGACCATGCCATAAGTGAGTCTGTTGCCCATGGCAACAAGCTGTTTGTCTTTTAGTTTTCTCAGCCTAGAAAAAGGAACTGATGTGTATGTATCTGTAGCTTTTAATATCACTAGACAGAATCACCCACTGGGGTTTTATTGCCAAGGAAAGATGCTGCCTACACATGTCGGAAGTTTCTAAAAGGAATGCATCACTGTGGTGGGAGGACATTTTCCTCCTGCTGACTGACACTCCTCCCTCCTTGGCCACAGCCTGAGTTTGTATGTATTGGGACTGTTTGTAGGCTTCTCCAGGAAATCAGTAGGCAGATAGCCTCCCACACTCTAGAAGACAAAATGTGTCACTTTGATGGTGACGCCTCTCACAGAAGCATTGCTGTGGACACACAGAGCAGCTCTTGTTTGTTCAGGGTGTCTCTCGGGAGGTCTTTTGGGGCTTTAGCTTGGGTTCTTGTTTCTCTGTTCTTGGACTTTGTGTAAATGCATTCCCCATAAGGGACCAAAGCTGGTGATAACTGCCCCAAAGGAAAACCTTTCTGGTGCTGTCACCTGCTCCCTGTCATTGTTCTCTTCACATTCTGCTTGCTTACCTTCCAGACAGACCTGTTACCTTCATAAAGACCCATATGCCAGCCAGCAGATCCTGTAGACTGAGAACTTAAGTTCAGTTTCATGTAACACAAAACCTCACCGTGTCAGTGGTTTAAATTCATTTCTTGCTCATAAACAAAAGCCCACATGAACGGCAGCCTGAGTCAGTGAGGAAGGCAGGCCCACAGACATCAGGGATCCGGGCAGCATATCACCACCATAAGCTATTCTTCAAGCCCTCAGCTCCAGCTTCCACATCTGGCCAGCAGGAAGAAACACAGGGCAGTGAAGGGCCACTCCTTCTTACTAGGAGAAGTATAACTTCCGGAAGGATCTGCTATTGAAGAAACGGAGGTTCCAGTGGTGAAGGTACTAGATTTTAGTCAGGTTATCAGCAGTGGAAGTAGAATTTATACGCACTCCCTTGTGTTCCCAGCTCATCATTCGTGGCACTGAGACAAGCTCTTGTACTCTTGGGACACCGCAGTGCCAAGCCAACGCTGCCTGACTTCTCACCTGTTTTGGGCTTTATTACAGATACAGTCTTTTTCTCCCTCTTCATGAACTCTGGAAACAGTACATCCGGGACCTGTGCAATGGCCTCAAGCCAGACACGTGAGTTGTGTTTCTGAAGCTTGCCCGTTGAGATAGATCTCAAGTCTTAGGATCACTGTAAATGTTCCCCCAGGAACCAGCCATCTGCACTGCCAGGCTGCAGAACTTTGTAGACCTGTTTGTTTCGTTCAGAACTCTGCCATGATATAAATCAGGGCTTCTGTTTACCTCACAGGCAGCCGCAGATGATTCAGGCAAAGCTGTTAAAGGCGGATCTTCATGGTGCTATTATTTCAGGTAATTTGCCTAAGAGCACTATCACTCAGTGGCAGCATAGCGCTTGTGTTGCAATATTAGACGTAATGTCCTTTGCTGTGTAGGTTTCTTTTGTTAAAAAAAAAAAAAAAGTGACAAAGTTTATTTGTAAAAGTGAAGATTGAGGGGGAAAACTGTCCCTGCAGAGCAAGCTTTGGCAGAATAGAAAAGGAAAAAGTAAGATAAAAGTACACCCTGGAGGACACAGGGTAGGCTGTCATGAGGAAAGCCATGATGCCAAGCTCTTCATGGCATCTGTGTCTTTTTATGTTGTCCATATCTTGACAAAACTCAAAAGAACTTGTACATAGGGATCCCGAGAGGCAGTGCTGAGATCCTGCACCTCAAGCTGAAGTCAGGTCCAAGCCTCCCTATTGAAAGCCTGCTCAAGCTCTCATGAGAAGTCCACATGCAGGGCTTTGGAAACTGCTCTGCACATGTGTGCCCAGGATCTTGTAATTAACAGGTCAGGCCTACTTTCCCAAGGCAGGTTTGCCATGTGCTCATCTCTTGTCCTATTTCCCCCTGAGAGACATCTACTCCCCTAATTCTGTATGGGCTACTGAAGGAGTGGAGATCTCTGTTTTTATAGTGTCTTCAAGCTGGAAAAGGCCATAGATCCCACCTACGGGGATTATGTGCTGTCCACCTACCTTGGGATGCTGTGGCTTCCCATGCACATTTCTTAAGGTCTGTCCGGAACATCAGTACTGTGGATCAAAGATGGTTCCAGCATCTTGGCCCATTCTACTCTTTAATGGACACACTCTCAGGTCTTCGTGAGCCTTCTACGCACACTCTGCTGGCACTTGCCCATGGTGGGACTCCGGAGCATAATCTCTGTCCTCTGTTCCCCTGGCTTCCAGTGTCAGCTGTGACTTACAGCTCTCAAGTTAACATATCTTGCACTGACCCACCTCCTGACCACGCATATGACCACTTGAAAGTCCTGTAGGCATCTCAGACTTTGCATATATCTAAAACAGAGCTCTTGGTCTCCCCTCAAACCAGCTTCTCACCCAGCTGTTCTCATCTCTACTTTGTCCAGGCCAAAAATCTGAGTATTTCTTCCTTCGTAATCCCTACCTCTAGTCTCTTAGCACCTCCCAGTACCCAAATCTAAAGCATTGGCCTCTTCCCTGGATCTCTTCAGAAGACACCTGACTCTTTCCTACCTGATGCATTTTCTCCAACCTGAACCAGACAAACAGAATGAAGGTTTTATGGCAGAAGTCAGATCGCATCCCTTCCCTCCTTTAAGTTTTCTGGCAGTTTTCCACCCATTAGAATAGAATTGTGCCTAAGATCTAAGGCCTCTTCAGCTTCCTTGGGCAGCAGTAGTCCAGCCACCTAGGCCACCCTTTTGCTTCTCACGCACCAGGCTTCACCCTGCCTCAGACCCTCTGCATTTGCACCTTTCCGGTACCCAGAGTTCTCCTATTCATACAGTGACTTGATATCCAGTTCTCTTCGCAAATATCACCTCCTTAGGGTTTGTTGTCATGATAGGTGACCTCTTAATCCTTCTTACTCTACCCTTATTTTCTTCAGAACACTCATCCGTGTTAGAAAATGGGGTTGTCCATGGTTTGCCACAGAGTAACCCTGTCCTGTTAGAACACAGCTCCATGAGAGTAGGCCCCAAGGCCGTCTTCATGCAGTACTGTGCCCTAGCACCTTCTTAGGACAGTGCTAGTAGGTGGTAGGTGCTCAGGGAATGTCTGCTGACTGCAGCAAGGCCAGGGCTTGTGACATGAAGGGCTTGCTGCCTGTGACTGGCTTGTGTCACGTTCCTGACTGCTGGGTACTCTGCAGCCCGATTCCCATTCTAGCCAGAACTCAGGAGGCCCCAGGTAACTTTGCTGGACAGATGTTCAGTCAGACCTGTAGGTGGCACACGGTTTCTTCAGAGCAGCCAGTCTGTGGGTCTTGGAGGTGCATAACAACTGTTTAACCTCTTGTGTCGAGACCACTGCCTAAAACCCCAGTGGGCACAGGACATCCAGAGCACAGCTGTGAGAGCAGCCCAGATACTGCAAGGCCCCATGGCTTGGTCACCACCCAGCTGTGGAGGGATTGCTCTTCCTCTGCTAGCTCAGAAGGTGGGGTCAGTGTCCCCAGCCCCTAAGACCGCCTGTCTGTGGCTCTCCCAAGGCCAAGCGGCCTGAGTCTTCAGTTGCCCTTCTCTTTCGCAGTGACAAAGTCCAAATGCCCCTCATACGTGGGTGTAACAGGAATCCTTCTACAGGAGACAAAGCATGTTTTCAAAATTATCACCAAAGAAGATCGCCTGAAAGGTGAGTAGCCATGTTGTCTGGGAGGCACCATGGGCCGGCCTCCCCAGCTGCTGCTTTATTTCTTTCCTTGAGGCTCCAAGAGTCCAGAGTCAAGATAGATTGCAAATACTCCCTGTTTGGTTTTGTACTGTGGTTTTTGTTTTTAAGATTAAGGTCTTGCTATGCATTCCAGGCTAGCCTTGAACTCACTACTTAGCTCTGGTTGCACTCAAACTTTGAGCAGTCCTCATCCCTCAGCCTCCAGAGTGCTAGGACTGCAGGCATGCATCACCATGCCCAGCTTTCAAATAACTATCTATGATCCAAACCTGCTGAGACCAGTCCTGGCCCCTTGGCTCTCCCAGAAGGCATTTGGGAACAGCTGAAAGCCCCAGCCAGAACAGTCAGAAAGGGAGAATTGCTCGCCCAGGCCCCAGGGTCTCTTTGGGCCCCAGGATTGGGCTTTCCACTTGCCAAAGCTTGCTGCCTCCAAAAGGAGTATAACTGAACAGAACAGAGAAGAAAGTAGTACCTGACCCCAGAGATGTGAGAACTGCCTTCTGAGCTGATGTCTTGGGTTCCATCCCAGCTTGTGTTGCTCCGTCAGACACTTTGGGTCATCTGGGATTTCTGTATCCCATCTTGCCCACAAACCCAGAGGCTTCTAACAAAGCTGGAGGGTTTAGAACACCATCACCCTCCTGGGGTGATGAAGCTTGGGATTGAACATAGGGTCCCATGCGTGGTACGTGTTCTACAACTGAAATGCACCCTAGTCCCCGTTCTTTAATTTTGGAGCTTGATTTGTCTGGCAGCTTCCTTTCATTTTCCTTGTATTCTGCTCACATCATAAACCTCAGAAAGTGGTATGAAAGTTCCCCACAGAGCAGAAGGCCAAGAGCCAGCTCAGAGTTGTGTGGGAAGACCTGTTTCTTTGGTAGGTCTAGGAGCAGCTGTGCTGGGAGTTTACTTCATAGCTTTTGCCCCAGAAAATGAGGTGTTACATTATATTTAGAATGTGAGGGGCCCTGCCCCTTAGCTCAGTTCTTTAAGTGGCTGCTTCAACAAAGCAGTCAGGCTCAGGTTGCTGTGGTTCGATCCCCACAATTCAAGCCAGCCAAACCTGCCCTGAAGGCATTTGGAGCAAAAAAAAAAGAATGTGAATCAGTTGGGCTTCTGGCAAAATAACCACATGTAATTTTGTGCACCTTGTAGGTTCCCCATTTCCTGATAGCTTGTTTTTTGTTTGTTTGTTTTTGGCAGAACCAGGGATTAAACTCAGACCCTTTCACTTGCCAGGCAAGCACTTATTCTGCTGAGCCATCTGCCCTGGCCCCAGCTTGTTTTTTAATATGTAAATATTTTATTAATAATATTCTACATAGAAGGGCGGGCCAAATAGCTTAGAGGATTAAAATGCGTGCTTAGGCCGATGCAGCAGCCGGGCATGCTGTGCCAGCCCCACCCCCAGGGCACACTGAGACAGCAGTTAAGGCTGGACATGGTGGTGTGCGCCTATAATCCCAGCTCTTGGGAGGCTGAACATAGGCAGATCACCCCCATTCAGATCTACATAGTAAGACCCTGTACTAACTGCAAAATATATGTGTATTACATAGAAATGACTGACTGCCTAGTTTTTTTTCCTCATTGTTTTCTCCACCATTTTTTTCCAGTTATCCCCAAGCTAAATTGTGTGTTTGCTGTAGAAATCGATGACTTTATTTCCTACATTTATGGGAGCAAATTCCAGCTTCGGTCAAGTGAGAGATCTGCCAAGAAGTTCAAAGGAAAAGGAACGATTGACCTGTGATTTCTGTGCCACCTAAGACAGTTGTTTATTGCACTTGAAAATTGGAAACACCCTAAGTACCCACGCTTCGGTGGCAAGATTCTAGGTACAGACATGTCCAGCCAGTGGAAGTCAAAGCCAAGGACGTGGAATGACACAGGAAGACGTGACCTTCATTTTTATAGTGCCCCTGTGGAGAGACAAGGCTGGCAGACTGCACACCAGGATTAAGTCTGGTTGACTTGAAGAGCAGGACTGGTAGGGTATTTTTTCTTCATACTTTTCTAACTTTTCCGAATGTTCTATGATAAATCAGTCATTTGTGCACTACTAAAATGCACACGTAGACTACAAATACGTGAACTGTTCCTGCAGTCCAGCTAAGTTGAAAAGAGTGTCTATGACACACTTTCAAGCGTGCCTGCCACCAAGCTGAGCTAAGTGAAGTTCACTTTGCAGTTTCAAAACAATTCAGCGGAAGTGAATGATGAAATTGCTACGTGACTTAGGGTTCATTCAGTTGAGGACTTAGACTTGAGGTGGACCACCGAGGCCAAACACCAGGCCTGCATGTGCTTAGTGGTTGTCGACCTAGTACAGGTAGACTGACCTGCGCAGCATTCTCCCTCCTGTCAGCTCCAGAGCTGTGGCCACTGTGTCTCTGTCCATGGTCTGACCCGCTCAGAATGCAGACTTCTCAAACGTGGCACATTTTGATACCTTAGATCTGTTTTGATTTTTTTTTTTTTTTAATTTGTGTATTTGGTACAGAGTCTTACTACACAGCTTGGATTCATAGTGATCCCCCATCTCAGCCTCCCAGCACTGGGATTACAGGTGCGCACCACCACACCCCGTTTCAGCGCTGGCTTAGTGGGCCTAGGACAGGGCTGGCATGATATACAGTACCAGGAATTGAACTGGGGTCCTTGTGCTTGCCAGGGAGGCGCTTAGACCACTGAGCCTTATCCTTGGCCCCCTTAGGTTCTTACTGCTGAGAAACCTGGCTTTTCAGCCCCACTCTAGCGTATCTGTAAGGCCACCTGATGAGGTCCGTCTACGCACTGTCAGGGCATACAGGCTGAAGCTGGGGCGAGACTGGAGTGGGAGATAGGCCTTCCAGGGCTGTGCCGGAAGCCGCGTAGGTCAGAAGCACAGCCAGAAGGATCAGTCACCCCTTCCCTTAAAGAGCGAGTGTATGTTGACCAACGAGGTGTCCTCCAAGTGACAGATCTGGCTTTCTCAGCATCTCCCTGTCAGGCTCCACACTGGCATGGCCTAGCTGCCACCGCACCTCCCAAAGGCGCAGAGTACACCTGAGTCCCACTCGGACGAGCCCAGCAGCCTGGCCCTCTCCCCTTCCCTCCCGTTCCCCACCCCCAGCCCTGCTCACTGCTGGAGAAGGAGCCAGGATTTGGACCCTGTGGTCTGGCTCCCATGCTCGGCTTTTCACTCCAGAGTGACTTCAGGGATGAGAAAGAGCCTGCTAAAGTGTATAACATACTTCCATTGTCACCTGGTCTAAGAAAATCTGTCTTCAGTGTAAAGTGCCCTCAGTTCCGAGCATCTGAAGTGCCGCCTTTGTGGCAGCATAGGTGCTATAACTTCCTGAGCATCCCGCTCGTACCCACCCTCCGCAGTGTAAAAGGCGTCAAATGTTGTGTAAATACACAGTTGCTCTCCAGAAAAGTTGTTGGTACCGCTTGCCATGTGAAATCTGTTTTTCATTTGGCGCAGACTCAAGTTTCTGTGTGAGTGGCTGTGTGATTTGTAGGTTTCTCTCCCCTTCCCAGAGGAGGCCTGGTGAGAACGCTCAACTACAGCAGGCTGCCGCCGCGCAGGCCCATTTTTCTCCACACCAACCTCCCAGGCAGAGGAAGGAAAAAGAATGCCAGGCCAGCAGGGCTGCAGTCCTGATGTTGCTATGCTAACTGCCACTTGAGCAGGGCACAGCACAGGAGTGGCTAAGTCCTCGCAGGCTGGGGGCTGGGCTCATCATGGACAGTAGTGTGGTCCTAGTTGGCCAGATCTGACTTCTCTCAGCAGTATTCTGTTGTAGCTGAAGCCTTGTTCATACAGACCCACCTGCAACGTAGCTGAATCAGCTTTGTGTGAACCGTGCACCAGAGACACCTCTGCTCCAAAGTGCCACAGAGAGGAGGAGTGATTAGTGCCTCAGGATGAGACACAAGGCTGCGGGCCGGGAGTTGTCGCCCAGGGCCCACTGGATTCCAGCAGGCAGGGGCGCCTTTCCAGTTGCTGGGGCTAACTGGAGCAAGTAGCTGCAGCCCCGAACTCCCAGGGTATAGGCCAGAGCGCCTGGAGGGGAAAGAGGGCAGCGCGCCCGAGCCGTGGCCCGGGTCTGCTCGAGCCTCCAGGAGTAGATGCTAGACTGGGGCTTAGGCAAGTCTCAGTAGTTCTGGAGACTGGAAGTCTAAGGTGATGGGGCTGTCCAAGTTGGATACTCCGGAGGACTCTTCTGGCGTCTGGCATCTCTCGATCATCATTGTCTATCCTCTTTGCATGGACTGAGATGCTTTTGTCCCTTTTTATAAGGACCCTGATGCAATCATGTTAGGACCAGGCCCTGTGACCCCCTTGAACCTTGATTATCTCCTTAAATCTCTACCTCCAAGTACAGTTCAGTTCCACTGGAGGTTAGGATCAGTATATGAATTGGCAGATTAGAGGGGTTATGTACACAAGTCTATCCATGATGGCCATGAAGTTTCCCCAACCAGGATGCTGGTTGTACTTCCCAGGAAGATTCCACTACACCCTGGCCCTGGCCCTCAAACACTCTTGCACTTCAGAGCCCAACAGGTGGAGTGCATGGACCACTAGCCAGTTCAGCCAGCCAGTGCCTAGCTCCCATTTCCACTGGACTCTGTGACTTGCTCCTGTAGGAACTTAAAGCCAAGATTGTTAGTTCCTTTTTATTTTTGCAAACAGCTGGGCTCCGTCTTCCCCTCCCTCCTATTGGGTCCACTAGGCAGTGTGACTGGGGCAGGAGACATATATGCAAGTGGGCAGGGCTTCTTGGGAGGAGGTGGTGCAGGACCTAGGCAGCTGGCATGTGAAGAGCATAGTCAGGGCAGGGCAGGAGTTCTGAGGGAGGACCCGGGAAATCAGGAAGGTTTGGGAGGGTCTGTGCACATGGCTTGGCGCCAGGCAGCAGGAGCCTGGGACGGGGATGTGCTGCCAGTCTCGCCCCCGTGGGAGATACCTGAGGTGCTAACAAACTCATTAATGAAAGAAAAGTCAGGAAATGCTACAAAAAATTCAAACTCATGAGCCAGGATGTGGATATCTGACGATCGACTCACTGTGTCCTGATGTCTTAGGACTCCAACGTCACCAACTACTAAGTGGACCCATTCAACTAATTTTCTTAAATGGGATCTTGGAACATCCACGTCAGCATCAGCAGAGTACATGTCCAAAATAGCCCCATCCTGGCCTGCACCTCAGACCTACTGAATCAAACTCCAGGGAGGAACTCAGAGAGCTGTGTATGCATCTGAGATAATATCTAATGCCCCTTCCACCTCTGACGTCTGGATTGTGATTTAAGATTTGAGACTGTTGAGCCAGTATTTTCTGGATGCTGGAAAAGGTCATCAAATGACTGATCTCTCGAGTTGTGGAGAGTAAACATGAACATTCCCCCAAAGCCATAAATTCTGGTAAAAAGCTTGCTTTCTGGACAGTGGCCTTAGCATTAATTTAGTTTGCATTTCTTAGCCATAATGCCTCATTAAGACATCTGTTAAATGTCTATAATATTAATTTAATAGAGGGGGTTCTAATAGAACCGTATTGGAATTGTCCATTTAATTAACCTCATGGGCCTTTAATGGATGTCTTAAATAGACATCATTAACGAGAGTGCTAGACAAATTGAAATTAGAGTCAATAACATTCTTGGCAATTTTTCTTGAGCTGTGAAGGACGAGCACCACTAAGCAGACAGGTGCGGGGATGAGCTGTGCACAGAGAGGCAGCAGGTTCAGCATTCCACACCCTGGCAGCTTCGCCTGAGGAAGACGGTACTCCCTGGCTGTGGGAAGCACCTCTGGGAGCAAAGATCTGCCTCTCTGCACAACCCTTCCAGTGAAGGTTTCCTCTCCTGGTTCATCACGTTGAGCTGGATGAGAAAGGGATGGGGAGAGAGGAGATAGAGGAGGCATAGGAACTCACCGTCCACTTGGGGCATCATGGACTAAGGCCAGGTGAGCCAGAACAGATGAGGACAGGGTAGGATGGGGAGGGGAGGGGGCAGAGAGGGGTGAGAGAATGGCACAGAGTGTTGCTTCTGTTGCTTTTGCTTCCATCCCTCACCGAACAGTTCACACTCGATGCATTTTTCCAAAGCTGGTAGTTTCCACTTTTATTTCATTTGACCCTTTGACACAGTTAACCACTCCTCCCTCCTGAAATACCTCTATCCCCACACTTCCAACTCCTGACACTTCCCTGGCCATGCCTAGTGCTCTTCAGTAGATCCTCCTCTTCCAAACTCTGCATGCGCGGATACCCTTGAGTGCCATCTTGGACTTCTGTTCCACAGTAGCAGATTCCATGGCTCCAGATACACTCATCTCAAAATCCTGCTGTGGCCCAGAGCCGAATGTGTATCTGCTTATTGTCTTCCTTCACCCAAGTGGAATATAACATACTTCAGGACAATGATTTTGTGTTGATGGTTGCTGTATCCTAAGTTGTTCAGAAGCATATCTAACCTGTGATAGATGCGTTAAGACTATCAAGGGAATGCGTAAACTTCCCCCTTGATGCCTCTCTACCTCAGTGACTAACAGCTGTCCTGGCCTGACAGGCTGCACACACAGCTCCTGACTGCAAGTCTACCCACACACACGCCCCCAGTCCATAGCTGTGTAACTTGGTGATCCCAGGAGTCACCATTGTTACTTTCTTGCCGCAGTACCTTGTCCAGTCTCACATGAAGCCCAGGTTCCACCTCTCATCCACACTGCCATCACCCCAGTCCCAGCCACATTTTTTCATCTGTCTCCCTGCTTCCAGCTCAGCCGTGCCACAGCTGAGAGGACCTTGGTGAAGTACGATGCAGGTATGCCACCCGCTGCTTGCTTCCTGCTCACCTTGGTTGCATCCTCCTGCAGACCCTCACAGCCACCTGCTCCTCCAGCCGGTCTCTGCTCGCCCCCAGTGTCCTTCCCAGGCCTTCTCTGTGCCCCTGCTCTGCTCTGAGTGGTGTACTCCCCTTCTGTCCTTTCTGAGGTATTCCTCTCCTGGACCTTCAGTCTCTAGGCAGCCTCTTCTGACCCAGTCCCTGAGCCAGAAGTCTCCCTCCCAGGCAGCTTCTTTCCCCCGTCTATCACATTGCCTGTCTTACATCCTCTGCATCCCTTCTCCCATTGGTCATAATTTTTCCTACTCACTGTCCTTTTCTTTCACTAGAGTATAAGCTCCAGGCACACAGAGATCTTGCCTGTCTTGTTGCTGTGGTAGCTGTTGTTACACCCATGTGATACAGAACAGGGCTTTATATATAATAAGGGTTCAGTAAACTTTTGTGTACTCTCGCCTCAAAAAATGAGCCAAAGATATATTTGGGTATATATGCAGAATAGATTGGATAATTGTATTGTTGATTTCTGCTGGTCTTTTGAAAGGAGCAGTTAGTGCTTAATTTTTTTTTTACTTTGATTTTTGTCTTTTTAATTTCTTATAACTTCTTTTTTTAAATGAATCTTACACA